CGTATGAATGCCAAACATATTAAAAAATAATTTTAAGTACTTCTTTTTGCAAAAAAAATATCATATCTATAAATAGGAAAAAATTATGACTTGGATATACTTGTATGAGATTAAAATTCAAGGTAATGATAATCTTGAATAAAATTTTGATGTAGCCCATAGTTATTTAAGTAGTTTTTCCTTGTAATATTATCTTTAAAATATCTCAAAGATAAATACTTTTCATTCCACCCCAAACACTAAATATAGTTAATTTAAAAGTTATTAAATTTTCTTTTCCTCCCCTAATCTAAGTGAGAATTATAACAAGCCACAATATTTTTTACAAAATTTTCTTTTCTTTTTCCTCATCTTAAATAAATTAATAAATAATAAATATTTTTGGTTTCTGTTAAAATATTTTCAGAATGAATTAAATTGATGTTAATGGCTGTAAGGTTATAGCTGATGCATTAAAAAGTTGGCCTAATCTCACAGATTTTACACTAGATATTAAGTAAAATAATTCATTTTTTTTATTTTTTGAAAATCTCTGAAAAATGTAAGACTAATTTATTTCTTTGTCTTAAATTTATTATATTTTTTTGTATTGTTCAATTATTCAAAATATTTCAATTTTAATTTAATTCTCAAATGAGTTCTTTATCTTAATTTGCTTGTTTATTAATATAAGCTAACATATTTTTTTAAAAAATAAAGGTAAAATTAATTAAAAGACGAGGGCATATTAGCTATTAGTTCTGCTTTAGTAAAATGCCCCAATCTCTCAACTTTAACACTTCGTCTTTAGTAAAATATTTTTCTTTATTTTATGAAATATTTCTTTAAAAAAAGTGTAAAAAAAGAATAAACATTTCTTATCAGTAACACAACTAACTACTTTTCAATTTGAGTTATTTATTTTCTATTTAAAATTGATAACTTCTTTATTATTTATTAAAAATATAAATTCCTTTTCAATTTCTAAAGATTTAATTAAATCACTCCTATGGGTAAATTGACTTTAGTTTCTTTGATCTAAAAGTGCAACAAGCTTTCAATTATGAAATTAAACTTTTAGTAAAAAAAATTGATTTGATTTTTTAATTTTATTTAGTATCTTTTATTTTCTTTGAATTAACATATAAATAATTTACTATAATTGAATATGTGGTTTCTTATTTTAACAAATTTTATATTTAAATTTTGTTTTTGGTTTTTAAATTTTAATTATCATTTTATTTTTAAATTAATTTATTCTTTTTTCAAATTTTTTATTTAATATTAAAGTTAGAATTAATTCAATAAAGAAGTTGATTCCTAGATTATCAAAATAACTCTAAAATTTAAGAGATTGGTTATGAAATATCTATATTTATGATAAATTTAAGCCTGATTATCTTTATTAAAATAATGATAAAATGTGTTTTGTAATATGGAATTCTAATAGAATTTAATTTCTAAATTAAATTATTAAATTTGATTTTTTAATTTTTAGTATTTTCAGTTCTAAATAATCTTCGTGAAACACTTAAATTTATATTTTAAGTTTTTTACAAAAATTAATTATTCAACATCACTAAGAAATGGAATATAAAAATACTTTACAAAAAACATAGAAAGTGGAATTTATTATTTCTTTAAAATATTGATTAAATTTTTTTTAACATAAAAAAGTCTTTAATGAATTTGTAAATAAATCTAATATTTAAAAATAAAAAATTAAACTTTGGATAAGTAATTAATTATAAAATCTATTTTTAAAAAAATATTTGTAAACTGAAGCATAAGTAATTTTTATTTTATTTTAATTTTTAACAAAATCTTTAAATTTTATTAACATTTAGAAATTTAAAAAATAGTCTTCTAATACAATTTGTCTTAAATTTTTTAAAAACATACTATTTTTAATAGCAATAATTATAATTTAATTAAATTCTTTAATATATAATTTCAAGCATTAGCGTCAATCAAAAAATATAATAGTTTAACCATTTATATACTTAGAATGTTTTAGAATTTTTAGAGCACAAGTATTTGTAAAATAGTATGAATTCCAATATTTAGTTCTTCATCATCAAAGATTAAGAAGGCTTTTTTTGCAAAAAATTAATCTAGACTTTGGCTATCTTTGATTATGTCATAAAATTACTATTCTTCTGTTGTTATTCTATCAATTTTATCATACTTCTATGGGATCCAATTTTAAAAGTTATCATGAATACAAATGTCAACTATTTTCGATGGTTCTTTGCTGGTTTTTTCTTTAATGAGATTATATAGTTTGTGGTATTCTTAAAAGCTACACTCCTAATCAATGGTTATTTCAATTTATTAATTAAAAATTTCTAAGTCAGTATCGAAGCTTTTAATAATATTTTCTATTTTATAAATTTTAAATTCTATCTTTTTACAAGAAATTATTTTAATTAATGATAGATCAATATTTAATTTTTCGTTCTCTATGTAGTCTACTATTATATTTGAATAAGGTGAGTTTATTTAAATATTAGGAAATGAACCAGTATAGCAGGGGCCATAGTAATTGTAGACACCATCTAATTATATTTAGATAGTTTCGATTAAATGGCTTTTTTAAGAAATATCCAAATCGAAAAATGTAGTATGATCTGGGAATTCAGGATAGCAGTCATGAGATCCTGATATATCACACTAACTAAAACCATATTGGTTATAATTATGGTCTAATACTTCAATGGATTTAAAGAAAAATTTTCCTACACTTATTTAAAGGGAGTATGATATAAATTAATCATTTAATATTATTTTTTTACATAATTGTAATAATTTGGTTAATTACTTTAAACCTCTTAATTCTAAAAATTGATTATCTTCTTATTGTAATTCAATATTTTTTTGTATTCTTTGAATATAAACTTTATATTTGACTATTAAAAAGTTTAGAAATTTCTCATTATTTATTCTTTTTAGCTTTTCAATTTCTTTTGTCTATTTTTCAAAATTCTAATGCTTTATTTTTAATTTTACTCCATCCTCACTTTAATTTATTTCTTCATTGGATAAATAAGATTCATCATCTTCAGATAATTTAGAATCAATTTGAGTACCCTTAGAAGCACAGTAAGGCTAATAGTCATGATTATATTTCAATTTTTAAGTTGTAATCTTTTGTTTTAAAATAGATAAAATGAGTTTTATTATCTTCAAAAATTGGTTTGATTTTATATTTGAGTTATTTTCCTAAAGTAAAGTTAATTTTTTAAAGATTTTAGGCTAAGCCATATAAAAGCTCATAATTTCATATTTAAAGTCTTAAGGTTTATTTTTTTTGTTTTGAAAAGTTTAGTATACCCATTTTTCTAAATGTTATATTTGCTTTTTAATAGAAAAACTCACATAAGACTAAATTATTTTTAAATCGCTTTTTAAGTATTCCATTTTACTTACTATTTGAATTTTTATCTTTTTTTTGTATTATTTATTATTTATTTTTTAATTAATTTATTTTGATAGATAAGATTGAAAAATTCTTTAGCTTTTATTTAAGTTTTTGATTTTGTTTGTTTGTTTGTTTGAAAATAGTATAAAAACCCACATTAATTAATTATTTTGTCTACTTGATTGAAGTTTAAATTTAAATTTATTACTGAAACCCGCTTTTTATATTTAATTAATTTATGTAATAAAATTGCTAGTCATTTTGTTTCTTTTATATAAAAAATTCTTTAGCTTTATTTAAGTTTTTGATTTTGTTCGTTTGAAAATAGCATAAAAACCCGCATTAATTAATTAATTAATTATTTTGTCTACTTGATTGAAGTTTAAATTTAAATTTATTACTGAAACCCGCTTTTTATATTAAATTAAACTATGTAAATAAATTGCTAATTATTTTATTTCTTTTATATTAATAAATAATCAATTAAAATTAGTGATGAGTAGAGGTTACTTATAATATCAAATACAGTACCGTTCACGATATTTGAAATGCATATATATAATTCAAATAATATATTAAATTATTAAATATTTGATAGTGTATCCATTAATTTTAACAACTTCTTAGTATAGTCTTTCCCAACTGTTTAATATAATTTAAGCAGAGTTGAGGGGTCACATTTATTTCCTTTACTTTTTATTAGAAATTATTAATGAATGAATATTTAGTAGGTGGAAAATTTTCTTAATTTTAGATTTTAAATAGTTCAAATATTTTCAATTGGGTTTTAGTCTGGCGAATTTGAAGGCCAGTCAGAAACCCATTTGATATATTGTCTTTTAAAAATTTAATACTCAAAGAAGCTGCATGCTTAGGGTCTTTATCATAAAAAAGGATACTTTGTTTATTACCATTTTAATAGGTTTTTCTATAATATTTTTATATACAGTTCAGAATTCAAATTATCTTAAAAAATGTGTAAATCTAGTGCTTCTAATTAATTTTGTTGAAAATAAAGATCTGTACCAACATTTTGAGTTTGGTAATATATATATATATATATATTTAATTTAATTTTAATAACTTTAGTTATAATTTAATTAAATTATTTCATAAATAATTTCAAGCATTAGCGTCAATCAAAAAATATAACAGTTTAGCCATTTATATACTTAGAATGTTTTCGAATTTTTAGAGCACAAGTATTTGTAAAATAGTATGAATTCCTATATTCAATTCTTCATCTTTAAAGATTAAGAAGGCTTTTTTTGCAAAAAATTAATCTAGACTTTGGCTATCTTTGATTATATCATAGAATTACTATTCTTTTGTTATTATTCTTTCAATATTATCATACTTTTATGGGATCCAATTTGAAAAGTTATCATGAATATAAATGTCAACTATTTTCAATGGTTCTTTGCTGGTTTTTTCTAAAATGAGGTTATTTAGTTTTTGGTAATCTTAAAAGTTACACTACTAATAAATGATTATTTTAATTTATTAATCAAAAATTTCTAGGTCAGTTTCGAAGCTTTTAATAATATTTTCTATTTTAAAAATTTTAAATGTTATCTTTTTACAAGAAATAATTTTAATTAATGATAGATCAATATTTAATTCTATGTTCTTTGTGTAGTCTATTATTATATTTGAATAAGGAGAGTTTATTTAAATTTTAGGAAATGAACCAGTATAGTAGGGTCTATAGAAATTGTAGACTCCATTTAATTATATTTCGATAGTTTTGATTAAATGGCTTTTTTAAGAAACATCCAAATTGAAAAATGAAGTATGATCTGGGAATTAATGAGAGCAGTCATGATGTTCTTATATATCACACTTATTGAAACCATAAAGCTCATAATTATGGTCTAATACTTCCATAGACAAAAAGAAAAATTCACCTACTCTTATTTAAAGGGAGTATGATATAAATTAATCATTTAATATTATTTTTTTACATAATTGTAATAATTTGGTTAATAACTTTAAACCATTTAATTCTAAAGATAAATTATCATCTTATTGTAATTCAATATTTTTTTCTATTCTTTGAATATAAACTTTATACTTGACTATTAAAAAGTTTATAAATTTCTCACTATTTATTCTTTTTAGCTTCTCTATTTCTTTTGTCTATTTTTTAAAATTCTAATGATTTATTTTTATTTTTACTTCATCATCACTTTAACTTATTTCTTCACTGGATAAGTAAGATTAGTCCTCAAATTATTTAGAATTATTTTTAAAACCCTTAAAAACGCAATAAGGCTGGTAGTCATGACTATATTCCAACCTTTAAGTTGTAATCTTTTGTTTTAAAATAGATAAAATGAATTTTATTGTCTCCATAAATTGGTCTGATTTTATATTTGAGTTACTATCCTAAAGTAAAGTTAACTTTTCAAAGATTTTAGGTTAAGCCTCATAAAAGCTCATAATTTTATATTCAAAGTATTAAGGTTTCTAATATTTGTCTTGAAAAGTTTAGTATACCCATTTTTCTAGATGTTATATTTACTTTTTAATACAAAAATTTACATAAGACTAAATTATTTTTAAATCGCTTTTTAAGTATTCCATTTTATTTACTTATTGAATTTTTATCTTTTACTTTTGTTATTTATTATTTATTTATTTTTTAATTAATTTATTTTGATAGATAAGATTGAAAAATTCTTTAGCTTTTATTTAAGTTTTTGATTTTGTTTGTTTTTTTTGAAAATAGTACAAAAACCCAAAAACCCGCATTAATTAATTATTTGTCTACTTGTTTGAAGTATAAATTTAAATTTATTACTCAAACCGCTTTTTATATTTAATTAAATTACAAAATTTTTAAATTAAGTATCTCACTCTTAGAAAATATAATTGAAATTTCTAAGTTTTTTTAAATTTGAAAAAAAATATTAATTTTTATCTTGTAAATTTCCAATCATAGCTCACTCAATTTACAAAATAATTTTAATAACATTTATAAAAAAAAAATATACAGTAAGATTAAAATTTAAATATATGACTACATAAATGTTTCTTGTTTATTTTCACTTAGTACTGATATTATCGATATCTTATAACATAGTAACCACTCCTTTTTGAATAATAATTTCTAATTTTTTGACTATTCGCTAAATGAAATCTATGAAAACAAATTAACTCTCTCAAAAATATAATGAATATATTCATATTTTACTCAATAAATATCATTAATTTCTATTTTTAATGCTTTGTCTATTTATGGTAATACATATTAGAAAATTTTACTATATTAATCAGCTTTAGATAGAAGCATAATCAATTCAAATAAGTAAAGTAAAGTAAAGTAAATTAAATTTAATAAATAAAATAATTTTTGAGCAATAATACTTTTTTTAGGGGATTTAAAAAAATGAATAATAATAGGAAATTATTTAAAAAAAATTATTTTTCTAATTAAAATTTATAAAAAATATAAAAAATTTGCTTAAATTTTAATTCTAATAATTATTCAGTTTTAAAAACAAATCATTTATAAATTATTAAAAAAGTTAATTTAATGTTAATACAATTAGACAGACTAAACACATTTAAATAAGTTATTTAGAAGATTCAATAAGCTTGTCTTTTAGTTAGGTTTAAAATTAGAGGATTTTTTATTTGATAATTTTATTTAATAACAAATTCCAAAACGAAATCATTTGGCATTTGTGGAATCTAATATTTTTTTACAAATTCAACAAGTACAATTTTTGCTTGCAAATTTGCAAGATGCTGACCTATACAGTTTCTCATTCCGCCAGAGAAAGGCAAATAGACAAACGGATTTTCTTTGATAATGTTTTCAGCAGAATGATCAAGCCATCTGTTTGGATTAAATGTTAGAGGGTCTTTGAAGTATGTTTCATCAATTTAATTGCTAATCAAACCCACATTAACGTAAGTACCTTTTTAAATATTATAATTTCCTATTTTATGGTCAACCTTAGCTTCACGGGTAAATAAAATAGGGGCACTTGTATTTATTCTGATTGTTTCTTTGAAACAGGCCTAAAGAAAATCTAACTTTTAAATATCAGAAAATGAGTAATTTTAGGGTAGACTCAAAACTTCTTTTTCTACTAATTTAAAGTAATCAGGATTTTTGATTAAATAGTACAACATCATAGTTAAAACACTTGCTAAAGTGTCTCTTGAAGCAAAATAAAGGCTAAAAGTAAGCTCTAATATATCAATAATTTCTTTTTCTTCATCCAATTTATGTCCTTCTTTAATTAAAAGAGCAATTATATTAATATTTTCTGACTCTTTGTTCTACTCAGCATGAGATTTCTCTCTTTTAATAGTATCTAAAATAATGTTTTTCATCTATTAGCGCACATATTAAACTTTTTCACAGATAATCCTATCTGATTTTCTGAGTTTAAGCTTCACAAATCTCTCTCCTAAGATGCCAGGGATAAGATTCAAATAATGTTAAAAAATTTCAAAGCACATTGTGTCAATTGCATCGTAAGGATTCTTGCCATCAATTTTATAGTCATCTATGTTAGCGCCCATAAAAATTTAAACAGAAATAGCGCTATTAATTGCTTCAAACGACTTTTAAACTGAAAAATTTGAGTCATTTTCTACTCTATCAAGCATCATTTTTGAAATTTTGCGAATGCTATTTAAATAATTTACTACAACATCAAACTTAAATAACTTAGAAATAAATTTTCTTTTGCTCTTCCATTTTTCTCCTTCTTCTAAAGCAATACCATTTCCAAGAAATTATTTAAATCCAACTACAGGAGCCTCAAACTTGATGTAGTTCTACTGATTTTATAAAAACTCATTAATCAGATTGGGATTTGTAAATATTAAAAGTGCTCTATCTAGTAAATTAGACAATATAGCATCTTCTCCTTTAAATTTATCATCAAATTTAATGTATTTTATAGTCTTTAAATTATCACTCGATGAATAATCCATCCATTCTTTAGCCATACCAGTAACTGGATAGTATTTGTACTCTTTAATTCCTTAATTAGCATAAAAGCGCATAGCCATTTTAGTTAAAACATAATATTTTATTACTAAAAATATTATAAATGCGAGAATCGAAGCACCAATAAGCTCTAAAAAAGCCATATTATTATTTTTTAATTATTTCAAATTAAGTAAAGCAATTCAATTTATTTATTTATTATTAATTTTATAGATTTATGTTGACTGGGTCTATTTGAATAGCGCTCATAACTTTTATTTGTGGTAAAAATGTTTGTAATCAGAATTTGAATCTAATAAATTCTTAATTTAAAATGAAGAGATTCAGGCTGAAATAAAATATCTTTTTGTAATCAAAAATTTAATCTTATATTTTTCGGATTAAGCCTGAGCTGAATTAAAGATATATTTATCGAACATATAATTTAATAGTAAGAATATTAAAGAAAGAATGCATAATTTTGGAGAAGTTTCTAAATGATTTTTATAAAATTAAAGCTAAATTTCATTTTATCTATTATAGCTAAATGCCTTTCTAAAATCTAGTGATCTTGTATTACTTTTTTGGGAAAATCCTTAATTTTAAAAAAATATTTTCTTAAATAAAAATACCGTAGGTACTCTTGAGTAAGGATGAACAAAAATATTTTATTTAAAAAATTTTTCCTCCTTATACCTTAATAAGATGTTCTTGCAAAAAAAAACTAATGAAATTTGATTTATCTTGAGATATGGTAGATATAATAAATCTACTGATTACTAGACTAAAACAGAAATAAATACCTACTAAATAGAAAATTAATATTTAATTATCAATATAAAATTAACTTTTTTGTGATATCTCTTACTAAAAGCAAATTTATAAATTTACATTTGACAATTATTATAAATTATTTGTTATTTTTATTCAAATTAACTTGAAATAAAGTTCAATTATATTATTTTTGTATTTTTGATTAATTAAATTTCCATAAATTTTCATTCAAAATTATTGTAAAAAAAAATAAATGATATAATAGAATAAGTATTTCTAAGATCTAAAAATAGTAAATATTGATTTTGTATTGAATATATCAAATAAAAAAATTATTGTTTATTTTTAATAATACAAAAGTTCTTAAACTCTCCACTTTAATCTCATTAGGTTCTCCACATTGATCTGAAGTATATTTAATTTATTAATATTATTATTATTATTATTATTATTGATGTTTTTATTATTTAGAATTCAAGTTATTTTGAATATTATTATTTTTATATATGTTTATTTATTTGTATTAATTAATACAAATATATTTTTTAATTATTTTAACTTACTTTTATCTCAATTTTTATTTCGAATATTCATTGTTAATTTTTTATTATTTGATACTTTTTCTTCATTTTTTTTTTCTAACTAACTAACTAAATATTTTTCCCTTCTAATTAACTAAATAACTAAATATTTTATCTTCAATATCTTAAAAGTAAAAATTAAATTGGTGATGAAGGAGCATAAAATTTAGGTTTTAGTTTAGCAAAGTGCACTAATCTCTCAAAATTGGTACTAGATCTTAAGTAAAAGCAGTTGATTTGTTATGGCTTTTTATATTTTTTATATAAAAACGAGTTTAAAACAATATAACTTAATAATAGCGTTTTATTTAATTTTTTTTTTCTTTTTTTTGTTCTGGCAGGTCTTGTTTTTTTTCTTTTAGTTTATAAATTTTACTCATTTTTTCATTTTCAACTTTTATTTTATTATTAATTCACTTCTTACTATTTAATATTTTTTCTTCATTTTTCCTTCTAACTAACTAACTAATTAATTAATTATTTATTTCTTCTTCGATATTTAAAAAGTGAAAATAAAATTGGTGCAATAGGTGTATCAGGCATAGGTTCTGCTTTAGAAAAATGTAAAAATCTTTCAAATTTGACGCTTAATATTGAGTAAAACAATTTATTTGTTTTGAATTGCCATACTTATTAGTATAATATAAAAACGAATTTAAAAATCCTTTTAATTTATTTAAAAGTTTTTTATTAGATTTATTTTACTTTTTTTTTTTCATTGCTTGTTAGTCTAAATTATTTTTTCATTTTCAATGTTTGCTTTAATTATAAATTAATTTATTAATTAAATTATTTATTTCTTATTATTTCATATTTTCCTTCTAACCAACTAATTAACTATTATTTTTTATTCAATATTTAAAAAGTAAAAATTAAATTGATGATAAAAGTGCATCATAATTAGGTTCTGCTTTAGCAAATTGCACTAATCTCTCAAATTTGACACTAAATCTTAGGTAAAAACAGTTTGGATTGAATTATTTTTAATATAAAAATGAATTTAAAACAATATTACTTTAATTTATTTATTTATTAACCTTTTATTTATTTTATTTTTCTTTTTTTTATAATGTATGCTTGTATTTTTTTTCTTTGTTTGTTAGTTTAACTCATTTTTCCATTTTCAAGTTTTAGTTTTATTGTTAATTAATTTATTAATTAATTCATTTCTTATTATTTCATATTTTTTCTATACTTTTTCCTTCTAAATAACTAATTAGCTTTTTATTTTTTATTCAATATTTAAAAAGATGCAATAATATTGGTACGATTGGTGTGTAAGGTTTAGGTCTTGCTTTAGCAAAGTGCATTAATCTCTCAAATCTGGAACTTAATCTTGGGTAAAAAATTTATTTGCTGTGGATTGTGATATTTTTTAATTGAAAAATTATAAGAAGCTTTTTATTTAATTTCATTTTATTCTTCTTGTGTTTTTTTTCTTTGTCAATTTAACTCATATTTACATTTTTAGCATTTGCTTTTATTTTTAATTTATTTAATTCTTATTAATTAATATTTTTTACTTCATTTTTTTCTTCTAACTAACTAATTAACTATATTTTTTTTCTTCAATATTTAAAAAGGGTTAATTAAATTAATGCAATTGGAACATCAAGCTTAGGTTTTTCTTTAGCAGAGTGCTCTAATCTCTCAAATTTGATACTTTATCTTTAGTAAAACAGTTTATTTGTTTTGGATTGCCAAAAAAATGAATTTTAAATAATAAAAATAACTCTTTTAATTTATTTATTAGCTTTTTTAAAATTATGCTTGCATTTTTTTTATTTGCTTATTAATTTAACTTATTTTTCCATTATCAACTGTTGCTTTTATTATTAATTAATTCATTTTGTATTTTTAATTTATTAAACTAACTAATAAACTATCTATTTTTTTTCAATATTTAAACAGGTCTAATTAAATTGGTGATGAAGGTGTATTAGGCTTAAGTTTTGCTTTAGGAAAGTGCACTAATCTCTCAAATTTAGAACTTTGTCTTTAGTAAAAATATTTTATTTGTTTTGGATTGCTATCAATTTTAACATAAAAACAAATTTAAAACAATATAATTAATTAACTCTTTTAATATAAGTGTATTTATTAGTGTTTTATTTGATTTATATATAATTATTATTCTGCTTGCATTTTTTTATTTGTTTGTTAATTTATCTCATTTTTTCATTTTCAACTTTTGCTTTTATTTTAATAAATTTCTAATTATTTAATGTTTGTTTCTTCTTATTAACTATATATTTTTCTTCAATATTTAAAAAGGTTTAATTAAATTGGTGATGAAAGTGTATTAGGGTTAGGTTCTGCTTTAACAAAGTGTACTAATCTCTCAAATTTAACACTTGATCTTGGGTAAAAACTGTTTATTTGTTTATCATTATTTGTTAATTTAATTTATTTTTTTATTTTCAACTTTTGCCTTTATTATTAATTAATTTCTTCCTTCTAATAAACTTATGAACTTTATCTGTTTTCTTAAATAATTAAAAGATTTAATTAAATTGGCAATGAAGGTGCATCAAGCTTAGGTTTTGCATTAAGTAAGTTCACTAATCTCTCAAATTTGGAACTTAGCCTTGAGTAAAAACAGTTTATTTGTTTTGGATTGATATATTTTCTAATATAAAAATGAATATAAATTAACATAACTAGCTCTTCTAATTTATTTAACTTGATTTTCTTTTATTCTTATTCTGATTGTGTTTTTTTTGTTTTTTAATTTTCAACTTTTACTCTTATTGATAATTAATTAATTTTTTATTATTTCATTTATCCCTTCATATTAACTAATTAATTTTATATTTATTTTTAATATTTAAAAAGCTAAAATTAAATTGGCGATGATGGTGCATAAGGTTTAGGTTCAGGTTTAGGAAAGTGCAATAATCTCTAAAAATTAGTACTTGCTCTTAGGTATAAAATTTTTTTTTTTGGATTATGATATTTTTTAATATCAAAATGAATTTTTTATAATAAATTCTTTTAATTTATTTATTAGCTTTTTATTTGATTATTTTTCTTGTTATAATTTATTTTACTTATGATTTTTATTGATTTAAAATTATATATTTTATTTAAAAATTGTATTGTTTTAAATCTTTTTAAGCTACTTTCACTAATTTAAAATAAAAGTATAAACGAAATGAATGAATCATAATAATTAAAAGTAGAAACCAAGTGTCGTAAATCAAAAAGATTGGTTATCTTTAAAAATTATTTCTTATTATGATAAACAAGTGATGAAAAAGGATGAATAGATGTAATAATATTTGAATAATATAATATGTAAAAAATGTTTTATTGAAATTTATGAAATTTTTGAATGTATAAATTTGTTTTTTACTGAAAATACTTAATTCAATAAATCTAATTGATAGAATTTGTAATTCTAATTATTAATTAGAATATATATTAAATTATTAATGAAATTTAGAATTTGTTGATAAAAATTAAAAAAATTACTAACAAGGATAAAAAAATCTTAAAAAACATAGATTTATTTTTTTAATTAATTAATTAATTAAATGAAAGTTTTATTTAGATGATCATCATATATGTTTAACCTAAGAATCATTACCTTTTTTAATAAGGTTTTAATTAAAAGATTCTGATTTTTTTTAGAATTCTTTTGATTAATCGGCTAAAATATCACTGATTCCAGTTTCATTAAGCATTTTAAGAGTTTCTATACCAATTGGTGGGGCAGTTTACCAGTTTAATGGTTTACCACAACCTAATCCTTTGACGTTACTGTTATAAGTACCTTTATTCTCAACTTCTTTTTGTTACTACTTTTTCCATAATAAATTTCTCCAGTCAAAAGTAAATTTCATAAATGATTTTCCACCAGAGTAATAATCTTTTTCAAGCTGGCGATTACCACATGTAGTATTATCACAGCCAGCTACTTTAAGCCAAATTTATCCACAATTAGGACATTGCTTTAGTAGATTTTATGGTGCTTAAGGATTCAATAAGCTATAAGACATATTTTAAGAGGCTGCTTTACGTACTTACTCAACAATAGGGATAAAATAAGATTTTAACTCCAAATAATGCATGAAACTATCAACTTCAATCATATCTTTACCATATTTATTTTCAAAGTCTTCGAGTATTTCCTCAGCAATTTTCGCAATGAGTACATTACAAGCATGTAAAAATTCATCCTTATCACTATCACTATATATCAACATTTCCTTTAACATATATTTTGATACTTTATCGAAATAGTTCTTATATTCAATAATATATTAATCAAAATTCTCGAATAAATCAAATGTGTATCTAAACTCTTATAAATTAATGTCGAGCTAAACTGCTTTATTCTAGCAAAGGCTTTTGTAAATAGCATTGCATAATTCTTCAGGATCAGAATCTTTACCTACAAAAATAAAAGAATTTTATAAGCTTGGATCTTTTTTCATCAGTTTTTCTTTAGTTTCTTCATAAAGGCTTCTATTTTCTGGAGTGTCATCTCTATCCCAGTGAGTAATTATAACAGTTATAAGATGTTTCCATTTATATAAAAGTTTCAATTTTTCAGATATATTTTTTTATAAAATCCCAAACTTATGATGGTATTCTATTAATATAAAAATTCTATTTATAGGTCCCTCAATTAGAGCAGAGCGTAAGCATAAAGCATGTCCAATCTTATCATCGTCAGCGCTAGTACCAGGAGTGTCAAGAATGTAAAAAGATTCTCCATAGGCAGAGCTACTTCTAAAAGAGTTTCTAGTAGTTGAAGTTCCATGATTAGAAGTCTTCTGATTTTTATTTGTTATTTTGTTAAAATTAGTTGTTTTTCCAGAACCAACATCACCAATAAATACTCCTGAAGGAATAGAATCCTGCTATATTTAAGTTTAATTATAAGTAAAAAACAAGTGTTTTTTATGAACACTTACAGCCATTCTAATTCTATTTAGATTATACTTGTTTGTTTTCTTTTCAATTTAATTAATTATCAAAAAATTGAGATGATCGATCGATCTACTCACTCTTTAAACAGATTATTTAATAAAAAGATAATATTCTAATATATCTAGATAATCGATGTCTATTTATAAATTCTTCATGTCTATTACAAAAATAAATCAGTTTGATCATTTATTTACAAAGTTGCATTTATAATTTAATTTAGAATATTTAAAAATCATTGTCAGATTTTAATGGTAATTAATAAATTCTTTGGTTTCTTTCATTTAAAAAATAAAAGAGTTTATTATTTATAATAAAAATTAATATTCTAAAAAGAATATATTAATAATAGATGTCTATTTCTAAATTCTTGATGTATATTAACTTTGTAAATAAACAATTTAACTAATTTATTTTTCTGTATCAAAAAAACTAGTTTTAGTTAGTTAATCCTTATTTAAACATGAATATTTAGAAAGCGTTTCAAAATACTAAATAATTATTTGAATTCATTCATGCTTAAAAAAGGTTCCAGATGAATGTTTGGATAATAGATGTCTAAAATTTTCCAAATAACTGTTTGAATTAATGTTTAATTAAAATAGAAATTAATAATCAAAAGGATTTAGAATAAATAAGCAATCTAATATATAAAAATATATTAGTTGAATATTTTAGAGTATTCAGAATATTTTAGAATATTGAAAATATAAATTCCTATTTTTAAATTCTAATAATTATTTGCCTTCATTCTTGCTTAAAAAAGGTTTTAGAATATATAATAAATTTAACATGTAAAAAATAAATTAGTTAAATAAATATTTAAGAATTGAATGTGAAAAGGATTTTCAAACAGATAAATTTGTAATGATATTGAATTTATTTGTTTTTAGTTTTTAAAATTATGTGAAATTTTAGATTTTCCAATTAAAAGATTCCAAAGGCGTATTATTATCTTATTTTAATTTTAATGAATTATTAATATTAGTTTTTCCATCATTGAATTTTAAAACTAATTAAAACTCTTTTCTAAATTTTAATACCTATCTAACTGTGCTTGCTTAAATCAATCACTCAACTCTTTTATACATTTTAGAATTAATTTAGTTTAAATTTGAGTTTTAAATGCATATTTAATAAAGTAAGTATATGGATAATATGCAGGGATCTAAAAAATATACTAAGCATTAAAAAGCATATTTTTTTAAATTTATTTTCACTTAGTACTGATATTATCGATATCTTATAACATAGTACCACTCCTTTTTGAATAACAATTTCTAAGTTTTTGACTATTCGCTAAATGAAATCTATGAAAACAAATTAACTCTCTCAAAAATATAATGAATATATTCATATTTTACTCAATAAATATCATTAATTTCTATTTTTAATGCTTTGTCTATTTATGGTAATACATATTAGAAAATTTTACTATATTAATCAGCTTTAGATAGAAGCATAATCAATTCAAATAAGTAAAGTAAAGTAAATTAAATTTAATATAAAATAATTTTTGTGCAATAATACTTTTTTTAGGGGATTTAAAAAAATGAATAATATAGGAAATTATTTAAAAAAAATTATTTTTCTAATTAAAATTTATAAAAAATATAAAAAATTTGCTTAAATTTTAATTCTAATAATTATTCATTTTTAAAAACAAATCATTTATAAGTTATTAAAAAAGTTAATTTAATATTAATACAATTAGACAGACTAAACACATTTAAATAAGTTATTTAGAAGATTCAATAAGCTTGTCTTTTAGTTAGGTTTAAAATTAAAGGATTTTTTATTTGATAATTTTATTTAATAACAAATTCTAAAACAAAATCATTTGGCATTTGTGGAATCTAATATTTTTTTACAAATTCAACAAGTACAATTTTTGCTTGCAAATTTGCAAGATGCTGACCTATACAGTTTCTCATTCCGCCAGAGAAAGGTAAATAGACAAATGGATTTTCTTTGATCATGTTTTCAGCAGAATGATCAAGCCATCTGTTTGGGTTAAATGTTAGAGGGTCTTTGAAGTATGTTTCATCAATTTAATTGCTAATCAAACCCACATTAACGTAAGTACCTTTTTAAATATTATAATTTCCTATTTTATGGTCAACCTTAGCTTCACGGGTAAATAAAATAGGGGCACTTGTATTTATTCTGATTGTTTCTTTGAAACAGGCCTAAAGAAAATCTAACTTTTAAATATCAGAAAATGAGTAATTTTAGGGTAGACTCAAAACTTCTTTTTCTACTAATTTAAAGTAATCAGGATTTTTGATTAAATAGTACAACATCATAGTTAAAACACTTGCTAAAGTGTCTCTTGAAGCAAAATAAAGGCTAAAAGTAAGCTCTAATATATCAATAATTTCTTTTTCTTCATCCAATTTATGTCCTTCTTTAATTAAAAGAGCAATTATATTAATATTTTCTGACTCTTTGTTCTACTCAGCATGAGATTTCTCTCTTTTAATAGTATCTAAAATAATGTTTTTCATCTATTAGCGCACATATTAAACTTTTTCACAGATAATCCTATCTGATTTTCTGAGTTTAAGCTTCACAAATCTCTCTCCTAAGATGCCAGGGATAAGATTCAAATAATGTTAAAAAATTTCAAAGCACATTGTGTCAATTGCATCGTAAGGATTCTTGCCATCAATTTTATAGTCATCTATGTTAGCGCCCATAAAAATTTAAACAGAAATAGCGCTATTAATTGCTTCAAACGACTTTTAAACTGAAAAATTTGAGTCATTTTCTACTCTATCAAGCATCATTTTTGAAATTTTGCGAATGCTATTTAAATAATTTACTACAACATCAAACTTAAATAACTTAGAAATAAATTTTCTTTTGCTCTTCCATTTTTCTCCTTCTTCTAAAGCAATACCATTTCCAAGAAATTATTTAAATCCAACTACAGGAGCCTCAAACTTGATGTAGTTCTACTGATTTTATAAAAACTCATTAATCAGATTGGGATTTGTAAATATTAAAAGTGCTCTATCTAGTAAATTAGACAATATAGCATCTTCTCCTTTAAATTTATCATCAAATTTAATGTATTTTATAGTCTTTAAATTATCACTCGATGAATAATCCATCCATTCTTTAGCCATACCAGTAACTGGATAGTATTTGTACTCTTTAATTCCTTAATTAGCATAAAAGCGCATAGCCATTTTAGTTAAAACATAATATTTTATTACTAAAAATATTATAAATGCGAGAATCGAAGCACCAATAAGCTCTAAAAAAGCCATATTATTATTTTTTAATTATTTCAAATTAAGTAAAGCAATTCAATTTATTTATTTATTATTAATTTTATAGATTTATGTTGACTGGGTCTATTTGAATAGCGCTCATAACTTTTATTTGTGGTAAAAATATTTGTAATCAGAATTTGAATCTAATAAATTCTTAATTTAAAATGAAGAGATTCAGGCTGAAATAAAATATCTTTTTGTAATCAAAAATTTAATCTTATATTTTTCGGATTAAGCCTGAGCTGAATTAAAGATATATTTATCGAACATATAATTTAATAGTAAGAATATTAAAGAAAGAATGCATAATTTTGGAGAAGTTTCTAAATGATTTTTATAAAATTAAAGCTAAATTTCATTTTATCTATTATAGCTAAATGCCTTTCTAAAATCTAGTGAT